TTTTTTTTTTTTTTTTTAATAAGAAACCATTAATTGTCACCGTACTCAGTGGTAAAGCTGGAGGGCTAAGTTTTCAATTAGGTAACTCATATGTAAAATATATACTGTATAAGTGCATATCTATGTTGTATATGTTGTGGTCACATGGTGATAGTATTTATCAGAAGTCATGCACATATACACCTATAAGTATACAACTCTACTTGTAGTACTTTGTGAATATTCTACGGTGTGTTTTATTTTGGGAATCAGGAAAATACCCATTGTTACCCTGGAGACATGCCTGACCTTGAGGCAGGGTCTTTGAGGAGGAGCCCCTAGGCTCATCTCTGCTTCCGCTGACAGCCTTGTGGTCTGTTTCATTGTGGTGCTAATGAAATCTAAAGAAGGGAGGTGAGAAACAATTTGAATTCTAACTCAAGGGAGCTCAAAGGGGAAAGAGCTGGGGTCTTAGCACAATAGGCTGATAGGGGAAGAGTTCCAAACCAGGATGGAAGGGCCTGAGGAGACTGTCCCCTCAGGGCCTCTCGTCACCCCAACGCCTATCCTTGAAGCCCTATTCAGGGGGGTCGTTGACCAGAGTTGGCTGCTGGTGCTCTCAGGTGCTGGGCCATCAGTGCCTTCCCAGAAAGCCTGGGTGGAGAGGCGAATGGGCCCCCTTCCTTCAGGATTGTGGTAGCCTGTGTGTTTGTCTCCCCCAGGACCTCGAGTCCCCGGAAGGCAGAGACCATCTGTTCTCATCTGTGTATACCCAGCTACCGTTTATCGGCAAGTGGTAATGCGAGTATTTTTAAGTTCTCCTAGGACAGGCATGTCTCTGGTTCGTTGAATGAATGAAGAGCTCTTGAGCTCAGAACGGTGGCAGGGTTCTTCTCAGAGTGGAAGTGGGTTGGTAGCTTGTGTCCCTTCAGGAAAACCAGGGCCGAGTGTTGAGTTGTAAGGACTTGGTCAGACCTGCTCACATTGCGGAGATTAGTGCTCCTGTCCCCTGACTCCTTTGAGCATGCTCAGCCCCAGGCCTGAGGCAGCGATCCACCTGTAGGTTCGTCCGGCCGGAGAGCTGACCTGCTTTTTGGTAACTCTGGCTGTGAAGGCTCGAGAAGACCTTGGCTGGCTGCTTGGCCCACTGAGCGAAGCACCGTAGTTCATTTGTTCCGTGGGACAGTAGTTGCTTGATCTGGTGTTTGGTGGGTTCCTGCTTTCTGCATAGGAAACGGCAAGGACGAAGGTCCTGCCCAGGGAGAGAACAGGCAGGTTCTAGGACCAGAAAGGAGACCCTCATGTCTGGAACAGAGCAGACATGTGGAGAGATGTAGCGCTGTGGCTGCTGAAGTCGGTGGGCCAGATGACAGTGCTTGGGAGGCTGTGTGTGGCCGTGCCACCACCTGCTTTGACTGTGACAGAGTCTCCCCATCTCCCTGAACGGAGTTAGTGACGTGCAGGGAAGGTGGCGGTGGGGTGCGCTTGCGTTGTCGTTCTCGTTAGCTGCTGCGTCGGAGGGGGTGGTGGTCGGGGGCTAAGAATTGGTCTCGTCAGCCTTAACTTCCTGTCTCGTGGTCTGCAACCTCCTTACTCCAGGACCAGTAATAGAGTTGGTGGCCATGGCGGAGGAGCGGGGAGGGACGGGAGCTTGGAGCAGAGGTGGTCCTCCAAAGGCATTCGGTCCCCCAGACTGATTTTTCGTTATGTTTCTGATGGCACAGGGAGGTCCGTGTGTCAGTGATCTTTCGTCCGTGGCATCTCTTTACCCCAAGACTTTTGCCGAACCCTTTAGGTTACCAGTAATTGAGTGCTTTTCAATGTTCTTTGTGATGCTTGTCTGTCATTTCATTATGGTTGGTTGTTACCAAGGGGTTCTAAACACGTGTCTGTGTGAAGTAATGAAAGCATGTGGGGAAAGAGTTGATGCACTTCCTTAATTTCAGGAGCAGAGGGAGAAGCGACCTTCCATTTTAAATAATAGGACTGTTTGAAGAACCCCAACAACTGAGTTACTTTTTCGTGATTCGTTCCAGTGAGAAGGGAGTTCCTGAACATTCTTTTCCTAGATGTCTCTCAGCGTTGAAGCCGCCTCGTCCACCCGTGCACACTGCATACACATCAGTGCTCAGTGACCTGGATCCCACACCCCTGGCAGCTCAGGACCCAAAGTCAACACCGTGAGTCGCCTTTTAATGGCTGGAGAGCATCAGGGACCAAAGACTGGCAATCGAGAGATGGTTCTTGACACCCTGTGATGGTTAACTTTTGAAAGCAAGAAGGAAGGGAGAATGCTGGCAGGTGTAGGCTCACCTGGCGAGGAGGGAGAACACGAATATAAAAACACCGATTATTTGCCAGCCACTGTGATACTCACAGCTCGCTGTTGGGTGCACGCTTCTTTCCGGGCCACGCGCTAAGAAAGCCTTTACGTGGATGAACTCATGTGATCCTCAGCAGACTTCGTCAAGGAGGAAGCTGTTCACAGCTGTTCAACTTTGAGAAGTTGAGGAACGTGCCCAAGATTTTTCGGCTTGCTAGGCAGCAGAGCTGGATTCCAATCACCCAGGCCGCCCAGCACGAGAGCGCACACCTGTAATCTGTCTGCCACGCTCTGGAAGGCCGCTCTCACGGGAGAAACAGAGGCTGGGCCTGACCGAACAGAAGGGGTGGTCCCTGGTCGTGTTGGAGAGAATGTGTGGAGGGAGGAAAACAAGCGGTAGAAAACAGGGATGGTACGGCGCCCGCCGTTCACAGCGGTGCTGCGGGGAGGGCACACCGCGCACCCTTCCTTAGTTGCGGCAGCAATTACCTGCTTCTGTAGTGAGTGGAATAGAGCCCCAGGCTGGGAGCTCCTCGAGGGAACCGTAGATGTTTTCTTTTTAACTGCTTGTTAATTGCCGGACGTGTTTCCAGCATACAGTAGGAGCTCCCTAAATAGTAAGCCGAATGACGGTCTCTCGAGCGGAATCAGCCGTTCACTGCGAAGTTTGTAGAAAGTGGTAGATGTGACTTAATGAAGCCCTGGGTTGCGAGGGTGTCATACGGAGCACTGCTATAGCTCAGGAGGGATATGTGATGAGAGGAAACAAGAGTTCTTCAGGGGAGGCAGACTTGTTTCTGGCCCTCAATTTCAG